GGGGGTCGGGCGTCGGGGGCAGGGCAGCGCGGGCTGAGCACGCCCCTGGGGATGGGAGAGTGGGAGCCGGATCCAGACCGCCGTGTGCGCGCGGGGTGGAGGCCCGCGGGGGCGGCGGTCGCGGGGAGGGGGTCCCCGGAGGGCGGAGGACCCCGCGGGGGTCGCAGGTCCTTACCAGGGCATGCAGTTGTCGGCGGCTCGCAGGCGAAAGGGGGAGCGGAAGGGGTTGGGCCGCGGGGGGCTGGTGCCCCCTCCCGTGGCCACCGCCATGGTCTGGTCGTCCATCACACAGCCGTACTCGCTGCTCTCGGTGAAGAAGGCCGGGACTCGGAGGGACTGCGGTGGGCGCGGGCCTCTGACTCTGGGAGCGGCGCCTCCGCCCAGCCCCTCCCCAGGCGCCAGGGGCGCAGACGGGGGTGGAAACCGGGGACCCAGACAGACAGGGAGGGAGGCACGAGGCGGGCGGGCGGACAGACAGACAGACAGGGTCGGGAGGGCCCTGGGCGCGCCCGGGTCTGGAGCAGAGGGTGGGAAGAAGCAGCTATCGGAGAAGGGGGGTGGGGTGGAGGCAGGAGGGGAGAGCAGGTCCCTTTTGGCCCATCCCCCACCTGTAGCCGGGGCAGCGAGCTCAGCCAAGTGTCCTTGAGACCGAAGCCGGAGTTAAATCCTGCAGACCGAGGGAGAGCGGGAGAGCGTGCAGAAGCTGTCGCCCTCGGCCTTCTCCCAGGTCCCCACACTCCTTCGCCAGGCTCTTACCGATAACCAGGTCGGGTTTGGGCCCCTGGAGCAGGTGGTAGGGCCGTGCAGACACCTTGATCTGCAGGTCCCTGCGGCCCCCCTTCTCCTTAGTGCTGGAGCCGAGCCGCGTGGATACCCCGGAACCAGGACGGACAGACACCTCTGGGCCATCCTGGGGGGCCAGGAGCAGAGTGGAGACACCGCTGGAAGTTAGGGCACTGGGAGGCGCTAGGCAAGGGGAGAGCAGAAGGAAGGAGGACACCCCCCCCCCTCAGCCCTCACCCTCTGCAGGGTAAAATGCTGCTGGTCACTGTCAGGGGGCAGGCCGTCACCCACAAACTGCAGCTCCAGGGCCACGTGGGGGAGCAAGACCAGGAGCTCCTGGAGGATGGAGAGGACAGATCAGGGTCCCACCCCACGGCCAGCTCCACACCCAAATGCCCAACCTCGGGTCCTGGAGGGACTTACCCAAAACACCATGACCAGGTCGAACTCCTTCCCGGCTTCCACCACGTGGATTTTCAGTGATTGCTTGTTCTGGATGTTGAGCTCAGGGACTGGGTGAGAAGTTAGCCGCTTAAGAAGATGTCCTCCCTTCCTCTTGTCCCCCTCCAGCTCCCTGCCCCCCTCGGTCCCGCCGCTCTGCTCTCCTTACAGGACTGGGGCACCAGGTGGGTGATGACGTAATACACAGTCAATGGGTAGGTGAGAAGCACGGCCATGGGGGAGTCCAAGCTGAGGCCCCTCCACGTGTAGTAATCCTGCCACGAGCCTGGGGAGAGCGGGTTATTGGGGGACCTGGCCCCGGTCTGGACCCCAGCAGCCCCTTCCAGTCTAAGAGCCTCCTTTTTCTCAGCCGTTCAGACTGCTGGCGCTCCAGTCCCTGTCCCTACCTCTTGCCCCCTCAGGGCCCCTCCAGCTCACCAAAGACGCCCCTGGGTGGATCTGGGGGCACAGGAGGCATCAGGGCGGGCCCATCCCCCTGGAGAAGCTGGTAGGGATCTCCTGAAAGAATGGAAGGAAGAAGAGGATCCTGGGGTCAGGGAGACCCCCACCCGGCACATCCCCTTCTTCCTCCCAAAGGAGCTGTATTCCCTGGAGCTGCAGCAAGAGGAATGGGAGGTTGCCTGTGGATGGGGCTTCCCAATGGTGTGGGCAGTGGTGACTACTTTGAGGATTGGGGAAAGGCCTGAAATGGCCACGGTGGTGGTAATGGAGTTGGGTGTGTACATGGAGGGGTTATCTGGGGCCCGGACAACCGTTTTCTCCCCCATCCTTCCCTCTGTGCTAAGGGGCCCATGCCTGAAGAGAGCCCCCACGAACCACCAAGAAGAAGGCTCAGGGCTGGCGTGCTGCCCCGGGGGCGCCTCGGGGTGCCAGGGCCTGGAATCAGCATGCTGAGCTGGGTCCAGTAGCCGCGAGTGAGGCCCCGTGAGGCCAGAAAGGCCTCCTTGTTGAAGGTTTCACTGGTCACCTCTGGAGAGGGAGGAGGGGAGGGGGTGAGGGCCTGGGGGCTAGGACCCCAGACTATAGCTCTTCTCAGTTTCTCTCAAGGCCCCTGGGTCTGAAGCTGGTTCTAGGCCTGGAGAGAACCAACATTTCCGAGCGTCTACAGTAGAGCAGACACCACCGAACCCACGGGATCCTTGTGACAATTCCCTGGGGTTTAGCGTTGGTTAATATACTCATTTTACAGATGAGGAAACTGAGGGTCTAAAAATTCAAGTGATTAGTTCATGGTCCCCAGTTACTGGCAGAGCTGGGCAGCAAGTGCATGCACTCCTGTTCCCGAATCCCCTGAGTTCTCTCAGGGACGCAGGCTCCTCGCACTCCTCAGCTCCAGACCCTGTCTTCAGCCCCAGGGCTCTGACCCCCAGCCCTAAACCCCCAGCATCCGGGCCTCGCTCCTGCGGTCCGGCCCCAAGCACTTCTCCTGCAGGCCCGGGACCCTGCACCCAGGCGCCCAGCCCCAGTCCCAAACCCCTGTCTCAGTCCCGCCCGCCCCCCAGCCCCATGGCCTTGTGGTACCTGCAGTGTAGGTAAAAGGCAGACTTGCCAGCTCCCCGGCCTGCTCCATGAAGCCTGCAAGCCTCGGGCACCAAAATCGGTGGCTCACGTCATCTGGGCATCGGCGCCAGTCGGCCCTGAGACAAGCCTCTCCACAGTACAAGACGGCACTACACTGGGGGCTGGGGTCACAGGGGGTGGTGGGCACCCAGCGTTCATCTCTGCAGGTCCTCGGCCTGCTCTGTGTCCTACAGCTGCCCATGTATCATCCGGTCTGCTTTTCTGTACACTCTGGTCCTAACAGCTTGCTTTTCTCCCCATCGACTTCCCGGACCCTCACTCTGTCTGCTGCACCCCCCCCCACCAGCCAGCTTTCTCTGCTTGCCCGAGTGTTGGGGGTCTCCCTCCCTCTCACTCCATCCTTCAGGCTGCTCACCAAGGTGTCAGCTTCACCTCAAAGCTATGCCTATGGCAGACATGGCAGGTTCGAGCCCGGAGGGAGGCAAACGTGAAGCCTGGCCGGGGACCCCACGTCCGCATCGGCATCTTGGCTAACTTCACGCCCAGCCTCGGGACCAGACGCTCCAAGTCTCTGAATGCGGGTGGAGACTGTCAGGCTGGGGGGCTCAGGGGTCCAGATCCCTAGGCCTCCCCAACCTCAGATACCAGGTTTTTGTACCGATGCAGCTGGGCGTCTCCCACGGTGAGCTGTCGGGGCTTTCGAGGGTCTCCGGAGCCCATGGGGCAGGCCATGCTGTGGCAGAGGAGAGCATAGGCCCGAGGAACCAGGTTCTCGGTCTCTGAGCCCTTGCCTGCACTCCCCTGGGTTCCATCCATTAGCAGGTCAATGCCCAAGATGGTGCCATGCTCATCGGTCACCAGTAAGAGGCAGGAAAGGTGCAGGGGGGCAGCCTCTGGGAAAGAAGGGAAAAGTCAAGGGCGGGGAGCAGCAAAGATGGTCAGGGTCAGGAGTATGAACGTCATGCCTACAGGGGCTAGGCGGGTCAACTAAGTGAACCGAGGGGAGAGGGTAGAGAGGGGATGCCTCATCGGAAGGGGACGCCTGCTGCACAGTGCTGGGGTGTGTGTGGCCATGCAGAAGTGTGGACCTGCTGCTGGAACTTTCTGGAATTTTTTTCTGTCAATGTATAAATGTTGGCTCAAAAAAAAACCCCAACAAAACGAAAAACATTGTGGGTCAATGAAAACCTTTTCCGGCCAGACTGGCCTGTAGGCCACCGTTGGTGACTTCTGGCTAGGCTTCCTGGTAGAGGGGGTCTTCCAAAGGGCAGATGGCCCAGCCGGGGGTTCTTACCACTTCTCCGCCCCTTCCTCCTCTCAGGGCCCGCTTCGTCCTCTGCCTTGTCCTCTCGGCAATCATCCTCGCCGCCTCCTGCCTCCTGCTCAGCCTCCTCTGTCTCCCCTGGAGGGTTTGCTTCCTGGGGGGACTCCCTGCTGGTGGGGGCTGGCTCCCCGTCCTCCTCTGGATCTACCTTCTCCATGCCTGCACCCTCCTCCTCTCCATTCTCTTCCTCCTCCTCCTCCTCTGCTTCCTCCCCTTCCTCCAGGCTGACAAAACTGACATAGGGGCTTAGGTCTCGCAGGTGGAGTGGGGGCTCATCTCCCAGGAACCGGGCAACCCCCAGGCCTGGTCCAGGGCCTGGCTCTGCCCCTTGCCCCAGGCTGATGCCCACACTACGGTTGGGCAAGACATGGAGCACCCAAAGGGCAGGGTCCTGGGGCAGCCTTCTGATCTGAGCCTCCAGCTGGCGCCAGCGGCCCTCAAGGCGGGCCCCCCCAGGCCCACGCTCTGCCGCGAACTTTCGGAACCAGCCAAACAAGAGGGCAGCGAAATCAAGGAACTCATCGCGGTATCCAGACACAAATTCCATGTCTTCAGGGCCGCAGGTTCTGGGCCCAGACTGAGCAGAGGAAGGGATGTATGGTGAGGGAGAGGGTAGGAGTGGGTTTGGGGCTGGGTCCCCAAATGGGGGGGTGTGTGGCTTTGAGGGTCACTTACGGTGGGGCCTCTGGGTGTTACCAGCTGAGACAACTTTTCAGGGCTAAGGGTGGGAGTTCAGGGTGAGAACGGGGGCTGGGCTTGGAAGCGGGCAAGCAGGGTTTAAGATGAGTAGTCAGGAGTGAGATGGTATTTGGGCCTCAAAATCTGAGGCTCAACCCCTCAAAAGTAGGGTCTGACTTGTGACTAGATTTGGAGGGCTAATCCTATGGGGAAGGGCTTGGTGAGGAGGGATTATTTTGGATCCGTCTGTAGGGTGTGGGAGGAGGGACCCGGAGCCGGGGCATCCCCTCGGCGTGGATCGGTTCGGCGGGGAGCCCCCGCGGACCCAGCCCCTCCCGGCCGCTCCACCACTCCGGTACCTGCAGCCGCCACCACTTTTCGAAGGTAAATACCTCGGGGCTGGCGGGGCGGGCGTGACGTCAGGGCGGCCCGCGACCCGGGGGGTGCGCCCGAGGCTCG